CCCACACAGAGAGACCTGGAATTTTCCAGAGCCCCAGAAAGTATAGAGCACCACAGCTACAGCATGCTGCTTCACTGCACACCCAGCCTGGAGAGGAGGAGGCTGCTGGCTTAGAGTTCCCTTCTCCTCAGAGAAAGAGCAGGAAACATAGGGTTTCCCAATCTGTTTCACAGGTCCATTGAAAAGAGGAGATGTCCTGGAACTGCAATTTACACAACACACATGCTGCTTTCACACAGCTGAGCTACAGAGCAGAGCTACCAACTCTCCCTGCACTCTGGCAAGTCTCAATCCCTGGGGGAACGGGAGAATGCCATCACTGATGTGTGTATTTAGTTTAGGGGAATAAAAAAGAGCCAATGTGGGATTTCTGTTTAGGTGGAGCAAGAATGGGAAGGCTGTGGGTAGGCTAATGACAGGAAACACCAACAGAATAGGTGCCTTGAGCAGTTCTACATTTTTCACAATTAAAGTTTGACACTTTTTACTGTTCTGCCACTGGTTAAATTAAGCCTGCAAAATATTAAATTCAATTACCCATAAAATAATTATATCAGTATTAAAACAGACATAAATTTTGCAACATAAAGATGAAAGCCCACACTTGCATGCTATCTGTAAAAATCAGTGGTCAGACAGTACTTACGTCACTAAGTATCAATATTTACTAAAATGTTCACAGAAAGATAGTCAATCAATCAAATCAGTTCCCAATGGAGTTTCAGCAATTTAATTTTTTTAATAACATATTTTAATGAGCTATTAAATTGTCATGTACTTCAGTCTGCACTGTAGTTTCTTCTAATCAGTGCTGATTACTAAGTTATTTGTATCTGGCAGACTTGCTCTCATTTTATAATCAGCATTCCTATTCCCTTTAGAGATTCAACACTACAGTCCAGTTTCTGTAGCAATGACATTATGACTGCAAAGTCCAAAATAATTATTCTGACAGGCATCCCTGGCATTTGCAGAACTACCATCTCCTTTCACTTGGGTTTCTGTTTTCAAACCAGGGATGACAATAATTTTTCTACTTCTGTATGGTCTTTTGAGCATGATGAATGAAAAGCACTTCAGAAGAATTCAGGGCTATTACTAATACCGCATATTCCTGACTCTGCACAGTGTTGGACAGTGGTAGGTGATGACTGCAGGTTGGGGCTCCGACTATGCACCCACACACGGTTGGAGGGAAAAGGGAATAGGAACATGAGAGTATGAACAATCTCCTCAGACCTTGGTATCCTGCCTAGAGGCAAACTTTAGGCTTTAAACAGCTGCACAGTCCAGGTGTAGCATGAAGACCACTGATATCATCCCAGGGAAACCCTTCCCTCTGCTTCAGGCCAGGAACAGATATGCGAACAGGAACAGAACTTCCTCAGAAAGGTGTCTACTTCATAGTATTCACTACCAACAGCAAAAGTTCAATTGCCTATAGCTTTTCTAGCTGAAAGTATTCTGAATGGAAGCAGAGTCTATAAAGTCCTGTCCATTTGCAGTTCAGAGAACTAAAGTTAAATACATAACATTTCACTACTATCAGCAGGAACATAATTTTTTATAGGCTAGTAAAGAGACTAATGGTAGAATGAGTGCACACAGCATACGTTTTCTACTTACTCTCCATCAGGAATGGTAGCAGGCAGGCTTGTGTCCGAAAGCAGAGACCTAGATTGTACTTGGTATAACATGGATATAAAGGCAGAATGGATTATTTCAGAGATGCTACCTTGCCCAAGGCCAAAAAAATTCACACTCTTTCCCTAGAGCCTGATTTTGTAGTTTCTGAGTAAAGTACTTTACCACATGGAAAAAGATACATCCATCTTTACAAAGCACTATGCTTTCTTTATGCTTTCAGAGGTCCTGAAAATCTGTCAGGAACCACAAGGCTAATTTGCAATTTGTAAAATCATTAGACCTACGTGTAGTGTGTAAAAAGTGCTGCTTCCAGACAGAGTAAATGGAGAGTTTCATTCCTACAGCACACAAGGCACTACAGAACAGTAAATGAATTACACTTTGCTGTCTTCTTATCACATAGCTTGCTGGTAGCCTTCTTTGGTTGGCTGCTACAAATTTGATGTGACAGCTCTAATGGATTTAGTAGACTATTATTTACTTCATTAGCCATTCTGTGTACCTGGTTAAGCTGACATTAAGGAACCTTGCCTTTTTGTTCAGGGGTTATAGAGAGGAGAATATATATTAATGTTTACATATATAAAAATTATTGCTATTTTAAATTCTTCCACAGGAAAATTAATTATGCCTTGTAATTGATCAGTTTCAAACAATCATACGTAATGCTTTAAAAACAGATCTTCTCCTTTACTGTCTGCCTGTTGTGCTGAGAATGATTACAGATTCAGGAAATCCCACTCCATAAAACCACTCAGCTGAGCAGGCTGACTGTGTAGCCGTTTGGGAGCTACTACAATCAATGCACAAATGCTCAGATTTGGTCCCTGCAACCACAGTAATAAACCCATGTTCCCCACTGATGGACCTGCCATTACCCACACTGTGATTTCTGGTGTACTGCACGGGGTAAGAGAGATCAAAAAGGCTGTCGCAGGGGTGGGGGAATCTGCCTGAGGAAGGGCTGGAGAGTGGTTGCCCTAATGGAACCTTGAAGTGCTCAAAGTAGTTCATTCTCCTGTTTAGCAATATAACAGGAGCAACTTCAGACTCTCTTTGAAGCACTATTCTTGCTTCAGAAAATTCGACATAAAACACAATGCAATCACAGAACAGTATGTTCACCCCTGCTGTCAGGTACAGAAAGGAGCAAAATATTCAGGAGAGATCTGACAGGGACAGAGAGCTCATGGAGGGAGAGAGAGGAAGAGAGGGCCCGGCCTGAGAAGGTCTTTTGTAGCCCTAGATCCTGCAAGCCTATCAGGCACCAAGTGTCTTGAGCATCTCAAACTTCCTCTGAAGCAAGGAAGAAGAGGAACCAACATAAGTGTGCTATGGGATATTGGTGTTCTAGGTACTTACTAGTATTCTTGGGATATGTTGACTGTGAGGGGAAGGAGCCAAGTAGAATGTCTGTATCAGTCTTGCATGTTGTATTAAGCAAGAGACACATGCACCTGTGCTAGTGCTGCATCTACTCTGCAGGTGGAACATGTATGAGTACAGCTGAGAAGCCACCAGGAGCAGAGGACAGGAAGAGGTGATGCTGCTGAAGACCAAAAAAAGCATCAGAGCAGCACACTTCTTAACGCAAATATTCCCGGGTCTTTAGAGCACATACCACCCCCTCACAAGGCTGTGCAGGCACTTTTATTATAGTCAGCTAATAGCCTTTTTGTCTCACATGTGAGAACACAGCTGCAGAATGGTCTGTGGGCTAAGTTGCCACTAGTTTTTCCTCCTCATGTGGAAGAGTTTACACAGTACGTGGAAGCACAAACTGAAATACCCCAGCTACAAAGATTAACTGATATGAATTTTACCATCCATGAGCAGCAGGTTGGAACTCAGAAATATGCAGACAGCTGGGCTACTATAATTTTATCATTGTATTTTTTACATATATATACATATCTCACAATATTTTGTGTACACATATAATACACATATACGTACATGTATATGTACACAGATGTACATATATATACAATTTGTTTTCATATCACTTATGTTTCCTAGCTGTGTGGAAAGAGACAAATATGGTGGCTACTCCAACTTAAGGATGTGATCTTCATTTTTTAAATTTCAATTCCACTCCTCATCACTTAGGTAGTAGCTTCCTTATCAGGAATTTAATTCAGTCCCATCTGTCAGACCAGTTTAAAACATAAAACTTGAACAAAGATCAGAAAAAGTGTATTTTCAAAAGTTTCTGGTATTTTTAGTTATGTTTATTTTCCAGAATACCTTTTTGTATATTAATACTATTCATGTATCCAAGGCAGTTTCCAGAGCAGCCAGAATGGGCAAGTGGGACAAGATGGACAGTTGTTGTTGACATGACCATCACAGACTCAGTATGCCTTTTTCCATTTTCTTTCTGCCCCAAAAGGCTGTTCTCATGGAGGGAATAATTGTCCATTCCAGACACAGCTACTGATTGCTGCTCAGATGTTCCATGGCCACTTCCTGTCTCCTCCTACTAAGGACCAGCATGAGGATTTTTAGATTGGTGTAAAGACAGATATTGTGGATGCTGAAGTGAGTATTTGGCCGAAGCTGAATCAGACTTCAGCTCATGTCATGAAACCCTCTCTGTCTTATTTAGCTGGAGCCCAAGTTTTCCCTTGCAGTGGCATGGAGGTAATTTTCTTTTCCTAGACTGATACATGAGCTTGACATGATGTTTTTGCTGTCATGGAACAAAGCCCATGCCCTGACCAAGAAAAGTATTTTTCCTTCCAATGCAAGCCTCTTTACCACCTTTCCATGGTGTTTTGTGTGCAAGCAGAGCCCAGCACTAAAAAAAAACATAAAAAAGATCTGCAGCAGGAAGACACAGTAAAATATGTCACCTGTGTTGCTCATACCCACCACTTTGTATTACTGCACCATCTGAAGTATAGCCAAATGCAGGACAGAACTTGAGGATAACCTTATAGTCACTCACGGTCACCTTCCAGACTCCCTGAGCCAAAAAGCACCTCTTCATGGCAGCCCTAGAAGTGCAAGCTGGCTTTAATCAAATAAACTCTGTGAAGCGATTTGTGGTTGCTGGATTGATGGCTCTGTGTAAGAGCAAAGCGAATTCATGTCTCATTCCACTATTCTTTCCAGGATACAACGAGGACTAACTATATTTTCTTCTTCACTGCCAGTGAGAAGACCAAATACACACCCTACCAAAGACATTTTCAAAGCCATTGATCAAACACTCATTCTTCAAAGTGAAAACTGGGAAACTGCTAGAAGACAACTCCATCAACATCTTCCCTCTGCCTCCCCCACATTCTCATCAGAAGGGGGGCCTGATATCAAATACAAAGCCCTGACAGAAAGCACTCGATGCTCACCTTGGAAATAGACGCCTGATTGGATTTCGAGGACCCTGGGAAGGGCTCTGGGGTCCAGAGAATGAATGAACTTCTCCAGGGTAGAGGCCATGGTCCGCAGCAAGGCAGCATGTGGGCTTGGCACGTAAAGACCAGTGAAAAGCTTTCGAGGCAGTAACACTTGCAGCCTGGCGCATGCTGTGCTCGGGAGCGCTGTGGGGCTCCCCGGCGGAGGGGAGGAGTGGCACGGGGAGGTACTTCTGCTTCCTTCCCTCTGTGGCTGCTTCCTCCCATGGGTGCAGCTGGACTGGGGTGAGGCAACTGGTGGTCCCCTCACCCACACCCACCCAGGATCCGTGCCAGGCTGGGAGAAGGAGGAGGGGGGGTTGCTGTGGGTACCGGGCTTCGGAGGGGGCAGGGCGATCTGCTACAAAACATCATTTTGTCAGTGATGGTTATTGAACCTGTGAAAAGAAGATACTGAATATCAGCCCTGCCTAAAGTGGGAGAAAAACATCATGTCTGGGTGGGGTTTTGTTGTTTTGTTGTGGGGTTTTTTTCCCCCTTCTGGAGCATGGCAAAACAGTTTAGTGTTTGTTCACTTCAAAATTATAAACAGCCTTTGAAGAAAAGAAATTAACCATTTTGCTGTCTTAAATATTTTGTCTGGATTTAAGACATACAAATAGAATACAAATGACTTCATCATGTAAATGGACATTAAGAAACAATGCTGTTATGCAAAATGGCCAACATTTTTTAATGCCACCAGCAGTTTGTGGGAATTTGAATTTGAGATGCTGCAACTGGGAAAGAATTTTAAGAGACTACAGCCCAGTACCAAGTGAAAATCAGACTGCTTTGATGACAAACCCCCAGCACTGGTTCCAACTCTGCTATTCTGAGCTTGATCAAGCATTGTTATTGCTGGAGTACTCATCTGAAGAATAAGGTCATACTAAATAAGCAGCAGACTCAGATCATGAGGAAGGTTGAAGTGACTGTGATTTCATGTTTCCTTACACTGTTCTCCTGTCTCCCTGAGAAGTCAGGGAAAGTAGAAAGCATGACATTGTGACAAAAGAGTGAGCAAAATAATCGACCGTTTATTTTCAAAAAGTTTATTAGGTTCATTTCACCAATATGTAATATTTTGCAGGAGGCAATATTACTCACACACTAAAAATTTCACATATTAAACTCCCAAATTCTTATTGTGGGGGCACAGGCCTTTGAGCTGCCACGCTAACTATGGAGTTTGAAGAGTTTCTTACCTTGGTCTTAACAAATATTTCTACAGAGAACATGAAATAGGTTTTCTAAGTGGGGAGCCAGCGGGTGCAGAGCAATAACAGGACTTTGGATCTAGGAGTGACAGGTATTAGTAAAAGCCAAACTAGAGAACATGCACAGCCAACCACTCATCAACTATTTTAATACAATAGATTCCTTATTCTCCCCTCCCAACAAAATGCATTTGAAATTAAACAAATATAATTGATTTGGTAAAGAGCTGGGAAAATCACATGCATTCAGTGGTAGTCAAAAGACCCATATTGTAAAAAACTGGTTCTTACAGGCACAAAGCATTGAAATGTATGAGTGGTTTCAGTTTTTTCAGTGGGACATCTTTATATGTTTAAAGATTATGTGCAATTCTAGGAAATCAAAGCCAATTTTCTTGGTACCAGCTCCCAGGACTGTGAGGTATTGTGTCAGTGCCAGCAGCTGGACTTTATCCATAGACCAAAACAATGTGGACAGGTAAAGAACCCCTAAAGCTATTTCTACAGTTCGTCAATTCAGTTCTATTTGGCTCTTCACTTTGATAAGACTGCCAGGAACAATACTACAAAAGAACATCTAACATGAATGGCAAGTGCACATACAAATTAATAAAGGCTTTCAAAATTGCTTGAATCCAACAGAGCAAATGTACAAACAGACATGGATTTCATACAAGAAAAATTCAGCACAAAACCTGTTTTATGTTGGTGAATCCAGAAGTTGAGCAGCATGAAGAAGGCAGCTGCAGCTCTGTGCTCTCATGGCCAACCAGAAGTACGTGTTCCCAATAGGCACAGACACTCACATAGACATATACAGCACCTATACACATAAGTACACTGCCAGACACACAGAGAAACCTAGACAGAAACCACAGCAAACACCAACTGGCTGATTGATGTACTAGTGGGAAATATACATATATATATATATATATGTATATATATATATATATATGTGCAGTGAGGATGCCTGCAGTAGCTGGACTTAGGCACAATCCACCCAGTAACTGGCCTCTGATTCTGCTGTCACTGGGGCATGCAAGCAGCCCTCAAGGCTCAGAGCCTCATGTCTCAGTGGGGAGAGGAGCCTCAGTGTGCTGATGGCTCTCCTGTGATGTGCCTGGAAATACCGTGGAAATACCTCTGGGGTTCCCCCACCCATTGTTTCCCCTCTCTGTTCCTCTGTGTGTGCAGAGTCCAGCTTTTTATCACATAACCTAACAAAACCAATCATCTTAGTTGCAATGAAGGAACTATATATGCACTTGTCTGACTGCAATTTAAATCAGGAATGCTACCCACTGGTCACATGTGATCAGAGGAGTGCCCATCTCTGCTAACACATAGACTGGTAAATGAGGACCACTGATCTGCTCTCCAAATATTCTGCAGGAGCTTTTTCCAGTTTGATGTGCAATGCCAAGTGCAGAGGAAAATATTTTGCCATCTCCAAAACATCCTTGATCCCAGAGTGGAAAATCATCACATTATCACCATGGACTGCTGGTAATAAGGGACCATTTTGAGAGATTATTATATTGCAGACTAAATTCTTAAGAGGATCTTGACTTAGAAAAGTTCCTTTTGCTTTGTCCAAGTTTCAATACTGAAGATTAGGACATGCTCCTGAAAAATGTATATGGTACTGAGAGGAGGCAATATCTGAGCCTATTCTTCCCCTACTGAAAGAACAGAGATCACAAACCTCTCCTTACTGCACCTTCATTTCTGAGTTATTGTATTCTTCCCAAAGAGCCTATTGGAACTTCAGTGCTACCTATGTCCTGTGTGAATCTGCAGGTAGCATTCAGCTTGGCCACTCCATCTCCTACTGCCAGCAATGGGGTGAAATCAAGTCAAGCAACTACACCTGCAAGAGCCAAAGCGACCATGAGTCCTCATGCAGCCATGGTGTTGGCAACTCCAGCTGCTCTGGAAGATGCACACAAACAGGGACCCACATCTCCACATGTGGAAATGCCTCTGATTATTGTCCCAGAAGGTGGCCAAGAACAGTAGGGGAGTGTGCCTGAAAAATAATGGTCTGATAAGTCAGAAGAATGGACACATAGGCAAAACAAAGAATTTTGAAAACTATATCCAAGAATATTTTTCTACCTTGCTGGTGAATATTAATTTGGTTTAGTAATTGGTTTTCAGAAAATCAATAAAATGTTCCAAGTTTCCAAAGAAAATCAATTCTGAGCCTGTGAAGGTTTGCAATATGCTTTAAGCTCAGATCATTCTCTGGATAAATGCAGCCATTAGTTGAGCTAGTTGAAGGTAAACTTTAAAACAATCCTATAAATATGAAACTAGGCATTATGTTAACAGAAAGATATGTCCCATTTATTGAGTTTATAAACATAAGGGAAATGTATTTGATACTTGATTTGGCAGAACTGTAATTCCAAAGAGGAAGATGCTTTATGGAAACTCAGAACAACCAGGCCCTGGGAGGCCTTGGAATCCAGTTCATACTGAAGTTCCAGCATATCCAGCACAGCAGCACTCAGTGGTGGTGTGACTCTGTTCAGGCCATGATGGTCCACTGTCAGTCTCCACTCACCACTGGACTTACACACTGGCCATATAGGAGTATGAAAGGGTTAGCGAGTCTTGCTGGCCACTCCCTGGCTCTCCAGTTCACAAGTCATCTCATGGATGGGGTCACAGAGTCCCAGTTGGTGTGGTATTGCCGATGGTGCACTGTTGTAGTAGCAATCAGTACCTGTTGTTCTTCAGACCTCAGCAGTCCCACAGCAGAAGGGTCCTCTGAGAGACTGTCTAAGTTCCCCTGTTTCCAAAGCAGCTATCCCAAAAGCCCAACAATGCCCTTTTGGGTCCCTGAGGTAATCTATGCCAAGGATGCACGGGGCTTCTGGGTCAGTCATAATGGGGTGTTTCTGCCATTTGCTCCCAGTCAGGCTCACTTCAGCTTCCAGTACAGTCAGCTGTTGGGATCCCCCTGGCACCCCAGAAATAGAGATACTAGGAGTTTCTGCCCCTACGTACCTTGATAGCATCAGGGTGCATTATGTGCTGGTAATGGGCTCTCAAATGTAGCACCCATGATAAGGGTAGGAGAGCAACAGTGAATACACATCCCAAATGACTCTCACTGCCCTCGATGTTATCGTATCATAAACTGATATCACACACTAGAGCAACAAAGCAATCCTGGTCCCTCTCCCTGCTCTGAAAAAGATCACTGTGAGCAGTATATACGGGAGTACATTCAGAGTTAGGTCCCATATCCACAGGAACAGACCAAGCAATATTGTGACCAGTGACTCCACACCTAATACAACAAATGCTTAGATCAAATTAGTTTCCAGTCCACTCTGGGCAGATCTGTTGTTATCTCAACACTTCATACCCCACATTGGGCACCAATTAATGTTGTCATGCTTTAGGAATGGTATTCTCCAATTTAGTACTCCCACTATAAAAAATACACGCGTCTCCCCCTCACCCACCTCCAATTGCAGGCACAAAAGGCAAGGATCACAGGTTGAGATAAGAACAATTTACTGGAAGCGGCAATGAGATAAGAAAAGGAACAGTAACAACAATAGTAATAAAAAAGTATACAAAAGAGAGAGTGATTAGTGTGCAAAAATGCTCGCCATGGAGCCCATGACAATAAAGAATTCTGGACAGCTCCTCCTGCCACATTTTCTCGACTGGAAGGAACCCCTTCTCCTTGGAAGCAAGAGTCTCTCTTCCCTGTTCCCAGCAATGATGTGAGATGGTATAGAATAACCTCTGAGTCCTAGACACACCTCCTCCCAGCTACTGTAAAAAAATTAACGCTTCCCTG